AAATCAGGCAGAGCAGGCAGGCAGATTGAGTTGCTCACAGAATCACAAATTCACTTAGAGATGTCTTATCTATCTGCAATCAGCTACCTGAGTCTGCACTGAATAATAGAAGTTTCAGGCTCAGATCTGCTTTTAGATTATCCAGAAAGCAAGAAATGCAATGATTTTCTGCTTTCTAACTAATCTAAATCTCTTGGCACAGCAGAACAGCTGATGGTCGGGGGGGGGAGGGAAAAATAGCAACTTAGCAGGCAAGTTTGATGGTGGGTATGCCAGATAAGGAGTGAGTAGGCAGGCGTGGGTGGGACCAGCCAGTAGCATGATTTGATGGTTCTCCGGCAGTAGAAGCCCACCCCTGGTGAGAGTGTGTTTTGGGTGCGCATGTAGACCATTTCCTAAAAACCTCAGCTGTGCTGCCCGGAAAGCTGACAAGTGCTGCGTGAGGGTGCGCACGTTTGAAAATCCTCTTATTTCCTGCTTTTTCAACTTCAGCTGTGCCGTGCAAAGCAGCTGAGGTTGAAAAAGCAGGGAATAAAGTACAGCCATGAGCCTGGGCGGGTGGGTTAGGTCAAACAGAGCAGCAGACGCCGAACCAGTTTGGTGTCTTCTGCTCTTCAGAGCTACTGGTTCTATAGAACTGGACTGTACTACCCCGCCCCTGGACCAGGGGTGTCAAGCTCAAGATCCATGGGCTGGATCTGTCCTGCAGGGTGCTTAAAGCAGGTTTCCATGGGGCCGGCCTGGAAATAGCAAAGGACCGGCCTGCAGTGCCTCTGGCAGACAAAATAGGATATGGGGGAACCATGCAAGGACACCCCATCCTGTTTTTGGCTGGGACGGCCTCCTGCAGCACACTGCTGACCAAAATTGGTGCAGGGGGCCTCATATGCCTCCCTGTGCCCTGTTTTGGCTGGCAGGGTGCTGCAGGAAGCAGTCCAGGCAAAAAATGGGGTATGGGGGGGGGCTACATGAGGGCACCACAACCCATTTTGGCCATGAGGGTGCTACAGAAGGCTGTCCAGGCTGAAAATGGGGCATGGGGGGCTTTGCACACCCTCCATGTCCCGTTTTGGCCAGCAGGGTGCTGAAGGAGGCTCCCCCCCCCAACCATCCCATGGAGAACTACAATGCTCACCTGGCCCTCAAAGAAATCCAGTTTGACACCCCTGCCCTAGACTCACTGAGATCTGGGAGTCTTTCACTGCAGATCTCTTGCACTGATTCTATTTAATCTCAAGAGAGACATGTTGACTGGGTACTGCAATCTGTTGACACACTCATTTTAATATTACGCTATACTCCTTCTAATAAAGAATATTTGTAGCTCAGGGGTGAAATGAGTCACCTGTGGTGCTCTCTGTGTTTGCTTGTTTTCTTGCAGATGTTTTATTACCCTAACTAGGTAACGCTGATGATGTTACATAGTTAGGGTAATGAAATGTCTGCAAAAAAAGAAGCTAGCTCAGAGAGTACCACAGATCCCTATACGGCTTCTTTTGATGCATATTATAGCTATTTGGCAATTTTAACCATGAATCACTTTGTACATAACTGAAAAAAAAAAATCTTGCTTAATATTATACCTTCCATAAATAAAAGAGCAAATGCTAATATAAAACTGTATATTACTAAAAATAAATTTTAAATCTTGTGCTTTTGCAGTAATTCTGATCCCACACTACTGAATCCTCAACCCCAGGTCCGCAAACCGCTACCAGTCTGTGGCCCATTGAAAACCGGGCTGCCCAAGCATCGGCAAACGTGCAAAGCTCCACTTGCACTTGTGTAATTAGGGTGCGCATGTGATACCATTCCCTCCTCCCCTCCTCACTGATGCTGCCAGTCCACAAAGCTGCCAGTCCACTGATGCTGTCAGTTCAGAAAGGTTGGAAACTGCGGTCCTAGATTATGAAATACTTTTGCTATCGGAGTTAGAATTGTGCATTATCTATTCAAGGCATTGTTTAGAAATCCAATCCAAAGATGTTTGATGGTCATTAAAACAAGTTTTTATATACTGAAAGAAAATATTACGGCTTTAGTATATGCTCTAAGATTTTCAGTGTGTATTATCAATGCAGTAATACTACATTTCTAAATCAGATATTGAAATTTATGATACATCAGGCGAAATTAAAAAAAAAACTGCCTGAGTAACTTAAGAATTTAGAGATGTAAGATAATTTACATTGAATTAAACAGACGCACTTAGGCTGGCCCATTTAGCCTGAAACCTTCTAGTTCAGTGTCTCTAGAATAGCAATTAGTAACTTGACAATTGTACTCTACTATTACAATGCATTATGTGATACACTTAATAGGAACTATAAGTATCATGCTCCTATAAGCAACTGCTTATGATTACTACCAGCAAAGTAAAATTATGCTTCCACTTTTTTTTCTTTCTTGAAGTGAATAAATCTTGGAACCAGGTTTAATGCTTTCAGATATAATCTACTCTCTCCCTCTCTACTCACTTCCAGTTTCAGTTACTATTATTTCTACCAACAGGAATATAATTGTTAAGAAACTGCAGGTGCTACCAGAAAGTTTGTCCTTAAAATAAGATAAGACTGAACATTTCTTTCCCTTTTAAAAGGTACACTATTAAAACTCTACTGGGTAATAAAGGGTCTGCAACATAAAGGAAATTTAGATGCCTTTTCTTTTTTTTGCTGCAATGAAAGAATTGTTATAAAATTTCTATTTTAAAAAGTTAATTGCAAAACTGCTCTGGAATAACTATGATTGAAGGCCTCACTAAAACAGCAGTTTAGATTTTAAATATACACGAATGCTGGTTTTACAGGATATAATAATATTAAGGATCTTTTTTGGAAATAAGAAAAAATAAGCACCCCCCCTCCACCCCCTCAAATATTAGGTCAATGGTGGAAGACTACACATGGAAGGCAATGGGTACATATTATGGCAAGCCTTAATTTTTTTAACCATCAAACTAAGCCATGAACCATGGTTTTATAAAATACTAAAGCTGTGTTCATTTATTCCATTAAGTTCAAACTGAACAATTATATTATTGTTTAGCATAATACAGGTGATCCTCAAGTTACAACAGTTCATGTAGTTTGAAATTACAATGGTATTGAAAAATGTGACTTATGACTGTTTTTCATACTTATGACCTTTGCAGTATCCACATGGTTGACTTATGACCACAATTGAACCCAAAGCTCTGTTGCTAAGTGAGATAATTTGTAAGGAATTTTGACCCATATTCCAACCTTTCTTGCTACAGTTGTTAAATTAATAACACAGTTGTAAAATGAATTTGGCTTCTCTGTTGAGGTTTGCTTATGAGAAGGTCGCAAAAGGTGATCGCATGGCCCTGGGACACTGCAGCTGTCATAAATATGAGTCAGTTACCAAGTGTCTGAAATTTGATCATGTGACCATGGGGATGCTGCAACGAGTGTGAAAAAAACTGGAAAAAAAATGAGTGTGAAAAAAGATAACTCACTTTTTTCAGTGCCGTTGTCCTTGTTTTCCAACAGTTCATTTACAAAGTTCAAAGTTACAGCTGTACTGAAAAAACTAACATATTTTTCACAGTGAGGATCTTTGCACCATGGTCATGTGATCAAAGTTCAGATCTTGGCAACTGGTTCAGATTTATGATGGTTGCAGTGTCTCAAGATCATGCGATCCCATTTTGTGACCTTCTGACAGCAAAGTCAATGGGGAAGCCAGATTCACTTAACTGGGTTACCAACTGATCACCTGTAGTGATTCACTTAACAGCAGAGACAAGAAAGGTTGTAAAACTCACTTAAGAAATGTGTCCCTGAACAGAAATGTTGGGGTCAATTGTGGTTCTATGTCGCAGACTATTGTATAAAAACTTCTGTCTGGAACCACATAAGGTCCTTTCCTTTTGTTGCAAAGCATTTCAAAACTGATGCATGTAGTATGAAATTTTTCTCATAGTAAGCCTTCAAACTGTTTTTAGAGATATTATAGTCAATGTTGCCAAGATTGCCTCTAATCATTTGTGATTTATGTATTATCAAATAATCATAATGTTAACTTATCCATTGGACTCCAGATGTACTGCAATTGCAATCAGAAATGATTTGTACAAAAATTTGAATATTTTTAGTCATTTGCAGGATGGGCTTTAACTTTACAGTAACTTCACTGATTGGCTTTAACTTTACAGTTATGCTGGTATTTCTTATTTTGGATACAATTCTATCTGGGATTCTCTAAAAAAAATTGCAATTTTCTAGATAGTGGGTTTTGTCTTTCCTGTGTTCAAGCAGTGTTCAAAGACTTATTATTGGCAGAGATGTTTTAAGCTGGATTCCTAGATTAAAATCAGACTGATAAGATTCTATATTAATAATATTGTATGTGAAAGGGATGGGGGGACGACTTGCAATTCACAAAATGATGGCAATGATAAGCCCGACAAAGTGAAAAAAGCTAAACAGAGGACCAAACAGAAACCAAAAGTATGCCTATATTTGGCACCAAAATAAAACTTTAATTTGAAATATTAAATTAAGAGGTACAGGTTTTTTTTTTTTTAAATGAAAGTAATATTCATACATGGATGCAACTGAAACTAGAACGCTTCCTGCAAGACAGTAAATAATTCATAGTGACAACTTCATAGGGAATATTGTCCTTGCACGCATTAATTTCATGGGGATGTAACCAGTGCCTTTACCCTTCATTGCGTCATTCGCTGGTCTCGTTTTACATCGTTTTGTTGCCCCTGAGATGAAAGGCATGTCTTCAATTAAAATGGAGAAGCTCCATTCCACCAGCAACAGGGGAGATTTTCGAAACTAATTTGGGAATAAATGCCTCAAGCAGCGTCAAAGCTCCTTGTTCTCAGAGCAAAACCAATTCCTGCTGGAGGAAGGACGAGGAACGAAACAAGCAGCAGTCCCCGGTAAAGACAGCCCCTCCTCCTGCTCTTTTCCCCCCTCCACCCCACGTCGGCAAATGGCAGTCAAGCAGGGCGGGGTAGGAGAGAGAGCCCGTCACTCGCCCCGAGTCTCTTCGCTGGGATGCGCAGGCGCGGGGCTAGCCGGGGCAGCGCCGCCTCCACCCGCACCTTCAAACAGCTTTTGCGGACTTTCGGCGAGCAGGCTTGTGCGAGGCTTCCTTTTTTCCTTGAAGCGGCCCGAGTGGGAAATCTTGAGATTGCGACGGTTGCCAATAGGCGATTGGTTCTCCCAAGAGTCTGAAGAGTTGGGAGGGGCGAAGAGGAGCTCAGTGGGATCCAGCGGCGGGATTTCTTTGCTTTTCTTTCTACTGGACAGAGATTTCCACCAGGTGCTCGAGGAGCTTTTGGCCCCGGGCCCGCCCGAAGGGGCTGTGGCGGCACTACTGCTCTCTGCCATATTCTGAATGCAGAAAGCGCCCCGGGTCTTTCTTCGGGGGCCAGAAGGCAGTCCGAACTTCCTAGGGGATAAAAAAATAAAAAGAGGAAACGTTTCAGCTAACTTGCCAGGGTTGGAGCCATCACTGCCTTCGGTTCAAGGAACGGAGGATGGTGGTTTTCAGGATGCGTTGCAATTTGAATGCTGCTACCATAGAGCCCTATAAGCGCTCCAACTCTGACTGCGGGGGGGGGGGGGGGGGGGCACGATTTGCTACCTTCGTACCTATATCTACCAATAGGTTTGTTATTTTACTCCAGAAAAGCCACATTGGGATGTATTCCTACTCTCCAATTATGCAATAGGGCTTGAAGAATTAATCTATACATCAGCAATGCAATCCTGACTTTTCATTTTTTCAAATGTGCAGTAACCACAGGTTCATCTAACAACAGAGATATCTTCAGTATGGCTAATAATATTTACTTTTGCTCAGTCCTAAGGAAGGCATTCAAATGACGCTCATGAAAAATAAGTTGCTGCACTAAGTTTTTAATCCAGAAAATGATTGGCACAGGACATGCAAATAATGAAGTATTTATGGGAGGCTCTTATAAAATGTCCCCAATAAAGTAAAGGAAGTAAAGGAAGGAGGATATGTCTATCCCATCTACAGAACAGAGGCTTATGAAGCAGCTTATTAACATCTTACTTTCAAGGACTTGATTTTTCTCAAGTATGGTGCAGACTTTTTCAGTATCAGTTTTGTTCAAGAAGGTTTGTGTCCATGCCTAAACACAAGAGCAGAGAAACTATGTACACTTGCATTCAGCCAAGGTGCTTTGGAAAGTTAAAACCTTTCCATATGACATAGCTTCCTTTTATACTCATGAAATCATTAGCCATAGTTAAACCTTTCCAAGATTGGGCTCAGCAACCAAGAATTTAGTTGCTTAGCACTATTCATCCAAAGCTTCTTTAGTTGGAAGATTTAAGCACAGAGTATTTCCAGTACAGGGGGTTTACAATGCACAGTGCCTCCTGATAAGCTCAGACGTAGTGGCAGACTTGTAGCAAAGTTCATTGCTGTCAATTTGTAGAGATTGACAAAATGTGGCTAAAATGGTAAGTTTTCAGGTTTGGCAATTTTGTGTTTTATGTTGCCCATGATGAGCAGTACCGACAATGAGATTTGAAGACTAACAATATTCTTCCAGTTTAAATAGGGAAAGGGTTGTAAACTGCCTCACTTTTTTCACACTACTTGTTAATAGACATATACAAAAATTGAATGTAAAAGAAAAGGTGAAATAGTCCTGTAGAAGAAACTAAATTTTTATACAAGGCTCACAAATGTAGTAAGAGCTCACTAGAAATGTCACTTAGGTTTGAATGAGAAAAAAGAGCTTGAAAAAGAACACAAATGTATACTTTACAAAGCCTTCCAATCAAAGAATCTTTCCCTTGGAATAGTTTTACTTTATCATTGTCAATGGATATACACAACATCTAAAGCCATTGCCGCCCCCCAAATGAAGGGAATAATTGCTTTTTTACTTGCAAGTAACCACAAGTTACCTGCAAGTAATTTGAAGTGTGTTCCGCTTCATTTCAGAAAAATGTCCTGTTAGTTAACCAATAAATTGACAGTAGCAGAGCCAACATTTTATAGACTTTAGGATTATCAAGTAGGTTACAACATACTGAAGAAGCATAATGAGGCATCTTCCTTCCAGCAATAAGTAAACAAGAAACTCTTAACTGAGAATCATTTTATATATCTTAAGCAATGAAGATTCCTAAAGTCTCCTTCTGGCAGTGAGATGTTGAGGCAAAAGCAATGTTTCCATTAGTAAATTATGTTCCTTGCTAGTCATAGCTAGAGGGCCCTTGTTGCATTCTTTATTGGAATTAGCCCTTAAGGCAGATACTACAGAGGATATAGCAAAAGATTGCACTTTATAGTAAAAGGTATTTTCAACACTTAGTGACCCAAAACTCTAGCTTCAAAATTTATCAGCTTTAAAATAAATCCTGTAGTGTTTTCATTCAGTGCTACAGTCTCAAATCAGACCATACTCACCACTGTTCCCTATACTTTTCTGCTGGATCCTTCAGGACAGTCCGGGAAGAAAAAAGTTCTGCGGTATGAAAAAGAAAGAAAAATGTTCTGCTTGCTATGCAGTTATTGTATGTTGAGGAATGGTAAAAGTCAAAGAGGACAGGCATGTTTCAGAACAATTGAAAAGATAGTGGGGGAAGCTGGTGTACGTGTTTCATGGAGATTGCTTTAACTCCCATGATATTTGAAGTGCAGCTCCATGCATCTTTGTCCAGAAGTAAATCCAAAGATATTTAAGGAGATTTTCTCTCAAATTCAGGGAATTGTTTTACGAAGAGACGCATATAGGATTAAAGAACCCACCGGTGAGGCGCAAATCCACAGGGATTCTTGAAAACACCAGACGGAAATCCTCTTCTCCTGGCAGGGCTATTCAAGAGCGCGGAGCTGAAAGCCACCTCTGTTCCAGCTCATGCAGCGCAACCAAGCCGCAAAGAGACTCTTCCTTTCACTGAGCACCAATAGCACCCTCCACCTCTCGCGACTTTAGTCCAAGGCGCTGGTGGAAGGCAGGGGGGAGGGTATTAGGACAGACACACACTCGGCGCTGCGAGATAGGTGGGCGCCGCTCGACAGACCCCCCCCCCCTTTCCCTTTTTTTCTGGGAAGCGAGGGTGTAAGATGGGCGCTTCTCCCGGGCAACACCTGTAGGAGCTACCTACGGGCAAGAACGGAAGGCAAACCTGTGCTCTCACCTGTTCCCCCTGGAACTCACACGCTCGCTCTTGCCGACCACCAAGTGAATGGGAATAAATCCTCAAACCATCATCTCCGCGTCCCGCGGAGGGATTGTAGTTACCTGCCTTTCCTGAGAACCTCGCTACCTCAGCAACAGGCTGTCTCAGAGTCAGCCGTCTTGAAGCGCCCGCCCGTTCCAAATGGGAGCGATCAACTTTCCCAGGTGAACAGTGTAGGGTCGCGTCGTTGAAAAAGCTAACTTACCCCAAACAGTCTCTAGAGTCCACGGAAGGTAGCTGGAAAAGGAAAAGAATGCATCGTCATGAAAATACTTTTGTTCATTATTTTTAAATGCAACGTTGTACAATCTAACCCGCCCGACTCACTTTCTTAAGCGATGGAAACTGTGCTGGGTACTTCTTGCGAAAACAACTAGGAGGCAGGTGTAGGTGAGCCCTCGAGTGGAACCCGCCCTTTTCTTCTTCAAAAAAGTGATTGGTTCCTAAAGAAAAGCAATTTGACAAGCGTTAGTCGACAGTAAATAAAAACTCAGCAAGCTCTAACATTTCAAATAACAGGCAGAGATAGCTGTAACAGAGAACAGGGCAAAAAATTGATCTTTGTTGATTTAATTGGATGTTGGTGGTTGCAGTTGGCAAATTGGTTTTCAATTTTCCTCTCCCTTGTAAATGGAAGAGAAGTCTTATTGGGACTCACTAAAAGACAGGCATAACAAATATTGGTAACAAAATACACTTGAAAACCTATGGGAATAATTGCTGAAGCAAGCACCAAAAATTGAAGAGAAGGAACTCATCACATAGATAGCTATGATATTTCTTTAGCTTATTTTAATATTTGAATGTTATTCATATCTGTTTGGGGTAAGGGTGGAGATATAGTTTTTATTCTGCTTTCTGGAAGGGAGGATAATTGAACCTTAAACATATGTTCAAGCAGAGACTTTAAGAGAGGAAACAGGAGGCCCTTGCAGTTCTAGGATTTTGTTTGTTTACCATGTTCACATTAATACTTTAACATGTTTGTAGACCTGGAATGGCAGAGTTGGTGAAGTTTCTTGGGATAACCAATGTCCCGCTGCAATGATCTCCTAGACCATATTTCTCAACCTTAGCAGTTTGAAGATACTTCAACCCCCAGAATACCTTGCTGGCAGCACACACCTAGCTTGATGCCTCCTGGATGTAGAATGATAGCACATGGATACCAATTTTTGATCTCAGAAGTACAGTTGAGGGTATTTTGACCCAAAGTAGAAAGACAGTCATAGAATATAAATGTCTAAACTGTGAATAATAGCTTCATTTAAGTTTTCTGTGCATGCAGGATCAATAGTTAAGGTAGTAATAAACAATTCAGCTTATTTGTGTTTATCCATTGGCATATTTCCATTTCAGACTGATCAGTATGTCTTATAAAAAATATAACTTTTTAATTCATCTTTTGCCCACCACCAAAATCCACAAACTACAAGTTATCCTCAGTTCTTGTATGCTCTTTTATAAGACTACAACCTTTTCAGGTTTGTCTTAATACTAAAGATCTGTCTCTTCTTAACCAACTCTAAATGCATTAAAAACAACTTAAAAATTTTAATTTTAAAAAAATATGAGCTGCTGTTTTAAATTATAACCAATTTGGTAGGCTTAAGATGCAAAAGAGCTAACAAAAACACACACAGCACATTACTTACTTTAACTCTCTCCCTCTCTTCTGCAGCCTGCTCTGTGTTACTGCTACTCCAATACTTCCCCAGCTGTTTTGCAGCAAGCTTTTATAGTTTCCTAGCTGACACTGAGGAGAGGCCTTGAAAAGAACGAGAGAAAGAGAGGGGAAAAAAGCACAGGTGCTGGCAGTTTTGGGGGCAATCTAGTTTCATGGTTATATGCCATTTGTAAGGACATATTTAATCCTACTTAAATACCAACATTAACATTCTAGAATAATACAAGATAAATTATGCTTAGTGCATCTTTTCTTTTCTCTGCCTCTGCTTGTGTTTGCTTATGCCCTGAATTGATTTTAGTAGAACTTGGTCATGTCAATGACTTTATCACCTGCAGTACTTCCAAAACATCCTCCTCCTTTTTCAGAAATGAAGCAGTTCTTGGGTGAGAAGCGAAACATTTTCAGAGAAAAAAGAAACCAAGAAAGTCCAGATTGCCTTTTTAAAACAAACAAACAAACCACCTTTGGGGCCACCATGACCAGGATAACTAAGAATCTCCATAGACATCCCTCTTCTTCATATTACTATTTCCTATCTTACCTTCTGTGTGGCCATTTACGGAGTAAAAATATGTTACATCAAGGAATGCAGAAACAGCTGATAACTCTGAAGCAGCATTTGAAACTGGTTCCATTATAATCATGGAAATGATGCCCTGAACGATGTGCAGAACTATCACTTCCTTGGTGTCATTACTACCATAAGGTCATTATGGAAGTGAATGTGCAATTGTTTCTTTGATAAGACTTATAGTTGAACACACCTGAAGATCAGGTTAAGAAAGACTGACAAACTAAAATTGATATTAGGTTCTTTGCTGTTACTCTCTGACAGCTACATGTTCCAAGCAGGTGAAAAATGATTTCGTCCAAGCTCCATTTTGTTGATTCAGTATCAGGAATCATTGATTCCTTTAAACAATAGGTATATAATAAATAGTAACCGGATCAGTCTCCACAGCAAATTGAAGTAGTCAGCAAAACTTACCTACTCTAATACAGGTAGTTTGTGGCTTGCAATCATTTATTTAGTTCAAAGTTACAAGGGCACTGAAAAAAATTACTTATGACTGTTTTTCACACATACAACTGTTGAGTATCATCTTGTTGATCAAAATAAGGATATTTGGCAACTGTTTCATATTTATGACATTTGCAATTTCCCAGGGTCAGGGAATGGCCTTTTGTGACCTTCTCACAAGCAAAGTCAATGGGGAAGCCAGATTCAATTAACAAGTGTGTTAATAACTTAACAACTTCAATGATTCACTTAACATCTGTGGTAAGAAAGGTTGTAAAGTGGGGCAAAAATTAACAACTGTTTTGCTTAGCAATAGAAATTTTTAGCATGATTGCGGTTGTAAATTGAGAACTGTAATGTTAAAAATGATATTTCCAATATAGCAAGAAGTTGTAGAAAACATTTGAGTAGCAAAGAATGTATCATTTTATTTCATTTTGTTTTCTTGCTTTATTTTAGGAACCTAGGTTTATTTATAACCCTGATAATTTTTAAATAATTACACTTTTAATTTCAAGTTATATAGTTGTTGTGTTCAATGTGTGGTAATATAAGATTTCAAATGGAAAAAAAATCAAGTCACAATTGAGTCTGTTGATCATTATTGAGCATTTTCACATTGTAACACTTTTGATGTGAGATCTTGTTAGCAGAAGAGGAGAATGTACATTTATTGGAATTTGCACAAATTTTCAGTTCACACCTGGACTGTCAATCTTGAAGTCTGTCTGCAGCAGTGCCCCAAGAGTTTGCTGCTTTTGTCAAAATAATGAAAGCAGTGTCACCCATCACAAGTTATTTTTTTGTATTTTTAAATAAATTATATAAATTGTATATTTTTGTAATTTTTCAGTGAATGGATGCAAACTTTGAAAACTTTAAATTTTACAACCATGGAAAGAATGATATTGCCAAATAAATATGTTGAAAGAATTCTGGTGTGAGTTTGCCATAGACAAAAATATGGTAGATATTTAGTCTTGGAGTAATTAGTTTGAAGTGTTCAGAATGTGCATAATGTATTATTACAATATATATTATAATGTACATAAATCACAAAAAAACAAAATCATTTTACTTATAACAGTACAATATGAAACATCTATCACACACATACATTGTGTTTTGTCTTTGGCACATTAGTAAGTCTACCTAGAGACATATGTAAGGAAAATAGTAAGAAAATGCATTTTTCACATGACCCCGGGATAGTGCAACCTTGATAAATATGAGCCAGTTGACAGACATGTGAATTTTGATCATGTGACCATGGGGATGCTACAACAGTTGAAAGTTGAAAATGGTTATAACTCACTTTTTTCAATACCATTGCAACTTTGAACAGTCACTAAATGAACTGTTGTAAGTTGAGTACTATCTGTAGGGAAAAACTTGAAAGTGGTTAAATATTGGAGATGGTTGCATCACTCTGTCAGAATATTTGACAAAAGTCCCAGTAATTTGTGCTATGTACTTATATTTATTTACTAAAACCGAGTATGTTGCCCCCTGACAGATCTGAGCAGCCCTCAATAACAATTTCCAGAATGGTCAATAAAAATAAATCATCAATAAAGTCACAAAATTAAAAGCCAGTCACAGGATCAACAACCAGTACTGTATATTGGGAATGCATCACTTGCATCCCAAACACAATGGAATAGAAGTGTCTAAACTTACTGGCCGGATGCCTTTCCTAATGCTTATGTGGAGTTTGCAGCAAATATTTTCTCTTTGTGCCCTAAGAGAAAAACATTTGTCACTACTTAGGACTGAACTCTCAACATTCCATATAGGAGGTGAGCATCCTTACCACTAGGCCACCATGCCACTCCGGTGTCTTAGCTATCTTCTGGGTAGAAAAAAAGTGGCCCATCTCATCCAGGGAATCAAGCTGTTCCATGTGGCTGAAACAGCCAACAATAAGTCTGACTTCACAACCAGAGCTTCCTAGTTTCACATACCTTGTCACCTTACTGTTTCAACCCACAGGAAAAGATGCTCCTATAATAAGAACCGAGCATAAGAGCTTTATTGATTAAAAGTAGTACTTGAAGTTGTATCCTTCTTGCAGCATCAATGTACTGAGATGCAGCAGCCTTCATCTTCCAACAGTTATTGTATTTTGTGGTAAATTCTGCTTCTGAATAATATTCAAAAGCAATCCCAAGGAGAGTGCATTATAGTAATATCCAAGTGTAAGATGATAAAGTTGTGAGTGAGTATCATACTGATTAACTCTTGCATATAAGCTATGAAATCTCAAAGACATGGAGAAAGTATGTTTTTGTTTTACAGTGAAAATAACAAATGGACTTAACAGGTTTATTTTTTTCCATTTACACTATCATAAATTACAAAGCATATTTCACTTCACAAAATAAAACCATTTCCATATCATTTTATAACAGTATTTAGTATATAGCCTACAACATTTAAATTTGTGTAATTTAAGATAATTTCTAGAACTATTATATCAGTATGATTTTATACTGCACTATCATCTGGCCTGCAGCCTGTTTCTATCTATCTAGCCCTTGTTGATTTAGGTAAAGGATAATTAATATACATTGTTTTCCTGTCCCATTTTGTCTTGAATCTTCTTTCATTATCAAAATTACATACTTATTTGTATAGAAACCTATGCTCCCTGAAATAATTCAGAAAACAGCATAATTGGCTTTCAAAATTTGTAATCCATACAAATCAAGAGTACAGTTTAACTTTTCGTAGAGAAAATTCTGATTTACACTATATTGTCTACCTGTGTTTGAAATATGTGTACAAAAATCTCATGATGAGAGATCTGTATAATATTAGAATGAATTGCATTTATTATATAGACAGATCCGTTTCTAGGAAGACAGAATAAAACTTTCATGAAATTTGAAAATGTACCATTTATCTTTCATTCACTCTCTCTATTATTAACACATTTGCCAAAATACAATGAAGAGAAAAGGTTTAATTTAAACAGGTTTACTTTTATAAATATTGAACTCATTTGGCATTTAAAAATAAGAAAAATCTAACAGTGTGAACTTTTTACTGCAAGAATCTGGTATTACTTATTTTAAACATAACCATACTGCATTTCAAGAAATAAATGTTAAGTATGCTAGTTGATGGTATTGCCAATAATATTTTAAATGTTTATATAACACACCTCTTTTGGGAGGTAAAATTAAAACAAAAATCACTCTGTTTGCCACACCTCTACAGGAAATGTTCAGATGCATTTGAAGTCAAATATTTTAAAAACCATTTGCAATTAAAGAGATATGTCAAAATAATATTGCAACAGTGGTAAATGTATTCAATATAGTATAGCAATAATGCTTAAGAAAAATATATGGAAAATAATCAATGCACCGCATTGAATTATATTTTTGCTTCCTAAAAAGACATCCCTAAAGCTAATGTAAGTAAAAATATATTTATAAATAGATGTTTTATTTCAGTCAGACATATATAATTATGTCATACAAGGAAAAATGTATATCCATAAAGAAGTAACAGTAACGAACATCCTGATACTAATCTCTTGGACAAAGAAAGACATTTTGGTATTTATTGCCTTCTGGTTCAAAATTCTGAATGATAACCATTTATGGCAATCTTGCCATTATCTTCTGTAGTACTACAATGACTCAAGATATCAATTCATATCTTGAAATAATAATATGTGAACAAGAATCTCATTGCATTAATTGTACCGTTTCTACATATAGTTCTACATAGAAATGTATGTATGTAGACATGATCTATTTGTATGTAATTATGTTCAAAGTTTCAAAAATATGTAGTAAAATACATTTGCTACACATTAACTTTTACAAGTTGCTGGGCTGAGAGAGTTAATTATAGTAGAAATTGAGCTAGAATAAGATTTGAGATTCAGTTCAATAGTACTTTTTTTGCTTCAGTGATCTCAACAAATATAGAAAGTTTCTTTACTTTTAATAAATTAACAAAAGAAATCTACAACCTTTCTACACAGGGACAAATTGGAAACAAGGTAAAAGATGAAAAGGGAAGTTTTTTTTTTTTTTTAAAAAACCCTTTGTTCTCCTAACTTGGTGAAACATAGCTTTACTCAGTGTACATTTACAAGACACATAAAATGAAACATTGCTCACGATTCTTTTCATGAGGATTTATTTGAATTTAAATTTCATTGCAGATGGTTATAAATTTAGAGCTTTGTTTGTCTAAAACAAAACATCTTCATTCTCTATTAGTATCTGCACAATTAGCTTCTGGTACCGCATATCATTGAGTGTAGCAAGAGTGCTATCTTCTGGGGGCCTCATTAAAGTAGGTCCAAACACTATTCCCAGATTTTCAGCATTCATAAAGTTTTCCTTTTCATTCATGGTAATCCTATAATGGAAGAAATATATATATTTCTTAGAATTACTGTTAAAATACTGTTTTAATAATTACTTTTAAAATACTATGACCAATAATGTATATATATGCTTCTACAACTCAGCTGCAAAAATTATTTTGCTCTTTCACAGTTCCTTATACTTATTTAGTTCATTACATTTCAAGATGTCCCATGATTTTGATTTTTTCATCTTTTAAATTCTAATACATTTAATGACATCATTTAAATGTACCATTCCAAGCAATGTATAAGTTTCCTATTTTCATTTATTATTATTTTTGGTTGTTTTAGTTATTCCATCAAGGACCATAACAAACAAATTGTCAGGTGCAACAATGACCAACACGCATGATTTTCCAAATAAACCAATTTATTACTACGCATGCCTATGCATAGGAATCTGCTCAATGAACAGCATTATTTTGATATTAGACAAGAGGCAACAGAATTCAATAAGAGTTGGACTTAGTCCATTTGTGGCTATGCAGAGGATCTAGGCCTATTTCCCTTTTAACTCCACACCTACGTTCTCTTACACAAATAAATATGATGATTTTCCTGTCCTCAGAGTACTCTCTAGCAGTGAATTTCATGAAGTCTCATTGTTACTCTTAGTTCCTTACTGTATCTAAGATATAGAATGTGTAACTGAATCTTTATACGTATGTTAATTGCTTCCATCTGTCTTAGAGTTCTTACTTTTCTTAAGTCCCTCACAGTAATAACCTGAAAGATTATGGGTCTATATAGAAATTTCCTTGATGACTTTGTTTTAAAGACACACACACACACACACAGAGCCCCTGACTTACAACATTTTGTTTAGTGACTGTTCAAAGTTACAATCGTCCCTAAAAAATGTGACTTCCAACCATTTTTCACAGCTACAACCTTTGTAGCATCTCCATGATCATATGATCAAAATTCAGATGGTTGGCACTGGTCAATATTTATGACTCTCACGGTGTCCCAAGGTGACATGATCACCTTTTGCAACCTTCTCAATGGGGAAGCCAGGTTTATTTAACAACTGGGCTATTAACTTATCAACTGCAGTGATTCACTTAATTACTGTGGCAAAAAAGTAATAGAATGAGGCAAAACTCACTTAACAAATGTTTCACTTAACAATAGAAATGTTGGGCTCAATTGTAATCATAAGTTGAGGACTACCTGTACAGACACACAGACACACATATACATCCCACATAAAATAAAGCAATATAGCTTACTTTTTAAGATGAATCATCAGGTATCTAAGAGTTTCAAAATGTGCAGCAGGAAGTAACATTAACACTTCATGGATAGATTCTAGTCTTTCATCAGCATTGGAGATTTCTGTGGGACACAGTAAATTTTATTAGGGGTAAATGTCAGCATTAAATAAAAATCTAACTTGGAATTTTATATTGTAAGAATTTTAGAACTATAATATTAATGTATGGAATGTATGGAATGTAATAAGTGATTAATAAAAGAAATCTGTCTTAATACTTACTTGCTGCCTCTATGAACTTAGAGTAAGTATCATAAGTGATAACAGGAATTGGTAAATCTCTGAAATACAGCTTTAGTGCGCCAGCAATAATATTTATGTCAGGATATATATTAGCAGACACATCTGCCTTGTCACCATCTGGAAAAAGAATGAGTATGGGTTTTAAGATTAGTTTTTCTGGGGGCAAAGTTAACTATTTCCTGTCATAGCCTTTCAAACACTGACACATAGACCCATTCATGCAGCCCACACACCATATTCTTGGTGTAAAATTATTGGAAAACAAAAGTACAGCTTTTTGATGTAATGGGGGGAATTATCAAACTGAATCTGAAATGGCTTTGGACTATCATTAAAAACTCTACCTACATCTTAGTTTATTGTCTCTGTTTTCCTTATGTTGTCTGAAATATACACAATATTATTGTTGGTGCAACTGTAGGAAAATATGTTCTTACACAACCCCCATATAGATCATAGCACTGTTGCTTATCTAATGCATATTATTATTCTGAGTACAACAGAGAATCTGTTCCTTATGATTTCACCAATCTGTGCTTTTTTAATGCCCAAGGTTAATGTTTTTATTATAATAAACTGAACAATATGTTTGAAAACAGCACAAATAGATGAGAAAAAAAATAGATGAGAAAAGACTGTTCAGCCTCTAGCCAGATTTACATAATTCTTATGGAAATAGGATGGTGCAGAAATAGGATGATAAGATTTTCCTATGTCAATTTCAGTAGACAGATAAGATCACATGGGAAGAAATTATACTCTGGTTTAGTACTCTGGTTTAAAACCTATTAGACCTTTAAAAATGGTAACTATTCATTTATTGTAACTCTGTAGATAAACATAGCTAAACTTTGTTTCTAAACTAAAATGATTTACATTTTAGCTGGCTACCACTAGCTAATATTGTGATACTTTGTACAAGTGGAAGTTTTGAGACAGATATCAAGCTAGCCTCTTGAAAATAAAAATTAAATTTGCAGAAAGTATCATTCCTTCTGTATCGTTTCCACTTTGCTTAGGTGACTGTAAGGGTCTTTTGTATTTTTATTGGTTTACTGATTTTGTGGTTAGCTCTTGGCACCAAACTTGAAGGAATACATCCACATTTCTTTCTCAACAGAAATAATAAATCCTGTAATTGGAAAGCAATTCTATAAAACATTAACATGATATAGCAGAGTGAATTTACACATTAGCATCCTACTGACTGCTACTTTTATCATCACAATATTTATTTTGCTATACCAGTCTCCGCCTATTTATCTCATATTTGTGACATAGTAGAATTGGAATTATAAAATGTTGTTGGACAGTTCTATTACTCCACAATACAATGAGTGTTAAATGGCTATAAAAGTGTAAAAATGTTATTTTTAAACATTGCAGCTGCCTCTACATTATTGAGGAGATGGTAAACAAAAATGGTATATTATCCAAGCCCTCACTGCAAATCAAAACAAAATGTTTACTTATGTGGAAATAATTGCTTACTCTGAAAATTGGAGTTATTTTATCTTTATAGATCTATAATATTAAAAGAAACTGGATGTGGAAAACAGTATGGCAGGTTTTTGGTTTTTTTTAAAAACAATGTTAGTGATGAAAGCTGTAGTTTTTAAACATTAATCAGGATTCAGCAAAGGGAAGAACTCAAAAATTAGTTACAGCAATATGTAAAATGTGTTTCTCTGTTATTTTCCCCTTTTTGTAATGAATGGAAAACCCAGCTTCTTGTTATGAATGATTTTATTTTTTCTTTAAATCAAGGGTAGAATTAAAGTGTTGGAGGAGTGTAAGTGTAAGCTAGGAAACAAGTAATGAATGCAGTCTATACACATTTCTGAATGTGTGTGTGTAGTGTACAAATTCAATTCATGATGTATAAAGAGTAATTATTGTCCAGTTTATTGCATTCATTGGTCTACTGGTTAAGGATAGAAGCCAGGAGACTGTGAAGTCTAATCCTGCCTTAGTCATAAAAGCCAACTAGGCAACTTTGGGCCAGTCCCTGTCAGCCTAAATGATCTCACCAGGTTGTGGCAGTGAAAATAGGACATGTTTGTCATCTTTACTTATTTATCAAAATACTGCCCTCCCCCCAAAATATGACCTATACCGAAAATAAGCCCTCACCCAGTTTTTATGTGTGCACCTAATATAAGCTCTACCCCAAAAATAAGCCCTAGTGAAACAGGATGGATGTGGCAGCATAGGAAGCAGCGAGCGCACATGGGCTGATGGTGTCTGGAAGCAACTGCAGCCCGTGCAGCACAGGTGAGTTGAGTACCTGTGCAAGCAGCAGGCAGAAGCAAAGGTGGGGTGAGGTAGGCAATCTGGACATGCTGTGTGGGCCGTGGAAAAAGGCAAATATAAATAAATATATAAAATTAATAAAATGGACACCATCCTATATATTGAACAACTGCATGTATAAAGCGAGTCTAATGTTAACTATGGCATTGATTTTCCATTTTTTAAAAATTTTAAGTACCATTAATCATTTTTAAAAAGAATGTAGGTTCCTGCATTACCAAAACCAAAAGCCTTTTGTCTTTTGACTATGAACTATGAATAGGCATTCTATTATTATATTTACTATATACAGTATTTCAAAGGCTTACATTTTTAGTGAAGTATGCAGACTGTTTGTTTGTAAGTCCTATCTGTGGTACATGTACGACTTGTTATAAATAATTGCACTATGCCATTTTAAGTCAACCAAAAAAGACATGCCAGGCATGGTATAAACCAGGTGATTTCTGTTCATTCTAATATCTAGGATAAATTGTTTTGCTTAAATATTTACAAGACAAAGATGAATAGAGACATCCATAAAATCAAGTAGGTAGGAAATATAATTGTGCAAATCTCTCACAACATCACGTATGAAATATTTAATGTGAAGTAGGACAAAGAAGCAAACAAAAGCTCAGAAATTACTAATCACAATAAGGCCACTATGAACAAGTTTCACAATAAAGGTTTTATATGCTGACAGAAACAGAATTGAACAACAATTCAGCACAGTGAGCAACTGTTGCTGTATAACATTCATTGTCATTCAGTGGAAGAATAACCAATCATTCTTGCGTTCTTACTAAGATATTATAGGAATCAATACCACTAAATCAAAAGTCTTGATTTAAAAAAAAATCAAAACATTATCTGTCCTTACAATTTAACCTTGACAGAACACTTCCAGGAAGAAGGAATTCAAGTGTGGTAGAATGTAAAAAGATTCATTCTTGTCTACAGCAAAGCACCATATGAGCAAGGCTATAGGCACAAATGATGATTTCCGTGAAACATCTACTGTAAAAAAAAGCAATTTAATTTCCTCTGGTAATTAATGATGCAACTTCAGAAAGCTTCACAATATGTAGCAGAATCTTTCTTTACAATACCATTATTATTTCATTATTGTGAAATAATGAGCTCTGTTGTGTATTTTGGGATACTATGCATTCTTCAAATAGGATTTATTTTGATACATGTGATAAATAGTAGAAAATAAAAGAACCATGAAATATACAATCTTTGAGAGAAATAAAATTAACATCTTTGATACAAAACCAAACCTATGAGAGTGCAATAAAACAGATATCATGTTTCCAAAACTAAAATATATTGTTACCTCGATCAAAGGCCATTTTGACATCTTCAATGTGTTCAGTGAACCCTGATACTCTGTAAATGCCTTCTGACTTCAAACCTGCAAACCAAAATTCTATCAATTGCTGTTTACAGGTACATTTTTATTCTATGTATTTTTCCTTCCATATTTTCTCAGGTGAATTTGCAACTATTTTTTGATGGAGCTTTCATTTCAAGTGGAGAGTGTGACTTTCATTTAATTTAAAAACTTTCATTTTATTTAATAAACTACAGAATTATCTTTTGCTATGTTAGACATTGACAATTTGTTTAGAAATTGTGCTAAGCAGAGGTCTTCTCTTCTTCTTTTCTAATGGACAGACCAGAGACTAGCATAGAATTGTTGCATGTGAAATGGGTACAGTCACTGTAGATCTTGTTGCATGATGGTGATTGGAACTCAGTTTTAAGCTAAATAAGGATGGTTCTTCAAAACTGATGACTTGATTCTAAAAACAATTATATTCATGAAAGGAAGTTTTCTGTTCATTCTTCTTTAATAAAATCCCTTAGGCCTGAAATCTCTTAGAACAGTGATCCCCAACCTTTTTTACGCCGCAGCCCGGTACTGGCATCAGCTGGGCGCCGCGGCCCGGTACCGGCATCAGCTGGGCGCCGCCATCTTTTTTTGATGAAAACGTGCTTCTGGTGAGCTTTCTACCCGGAAAAGCTCACCGGAAGCACTTTTTCATCAAAAAAAGATGGCGGTGCCCAGCAAGCCAGCGGCCCAGTAGGACTTGTTCCGCGGACCGGTACCGGTCCGCGGACCGGTGGTTGGGGACCCCTGTCTTAGAAGATCACAAACCATTAGCATACTCATCCTGGACCAGAAGCACATTGGCAGTAAGTATAGGTTTGGTAAAAGCAGTGGTTATAAACAGAATCATTTTCAAGTAGCTTTTGATACAACTTATCTGCCATATTTTGCTTGAGATACAGCCTCTACATCATCCTCAAGGCTAATCTCATACAGTACCTACTTCAGAGGGAAAATTACAAAATAATTACTAATTACCTCTGAGGAATTAGTACGCTACAGAGGTAAATAAATCATGTCAACTCAATCTAAAGTAGCTTTCAAAATGCTCATTTTGAATTAAAAAAAACAAACAAACCACAGATCTATCTGCAAAGTGAAAGATTTCAGGAACTGTTAACATATTTGTAATAGATTTCTGTTCTTGATTTGGTTTTTAAGAAAAGACATTTTGAGTGATATATTTATCTTTTATTCTTGTCTAAACACTCTTAATTATAACCTTAACATTAACTTATGTAATTCTTTTGATTTTTCAATTATCTTTCAATAATTTTAAATTTAATAGATGTTTTCAAAATAAATTATTGAAAAGAAAAAAATTAAGTGTGCAAAATTATTTAAACAAATAATCTACATTAGCAAATGAAAAACTAGCAAAAATGGTTTTTAGATATATTTTTTAAAGATGGGATAAAAGTATTTCAATCTTTTCAAAATCTATGCATCTAATTAAAGCTGTGATGTCTCCCAACTAGAACCAGTTGCACAAGCCTGATTCATGTCAATAGACATCATTTCAAGTAGCCTTTCCCAACCTGACCCCCTCCAAATGCACTATGGCCACAAGCCTTGGAATTCCCAGTCAAAATGCTAATTAAAATTCTGGGTGCTACAAAACACATGGAGAACATGAGATCAAGGAAGTCTGCTTTAAGAACTAAAAACAAAAGGATACTTCTTAGCCAATGCTCACCAATTTGGAAATTCTGATTAACAGCAAAATCAATTTTAAAAATTATTTTACATTTAAAATTCCCTCCTAGTTTTCCCCTAAACATTCTTTTTCAGTTCTATATGGAGAGGTCAGATTAAAAAAATAAAAACTTTCTTAAGCTCTAATTATTGCAGTTGAAGCATTATAAAGTGGGAACACGTTCAGGCCTATTATAAATAATCCATAGATCTATTTTTAAACTTGAATCAAACCTCAACTGGTTGAACTATAAAATATGGATTCTTAAACTTTCACTTACAAAAGTTTATTAAAACAACAAAACAAAATTCAAATAACCTTAATATATTATTTTAATCTTTTTTGAAATACTTAACAGGGTAGAGATTTGATTGCATCTGATAATGAGTTATCAAAACATGGAATGATGTCAGAATTTCAGTAATTGACAAATTAGAATTCTGTTTAATCAAAATGTAAAAAGTATACCTCTTGATTCAATTTCCCGTATGCATATGTCCACCACCATGGGTCTCTGTGCATTGTGGGCCTTGACTAGTGTAGTAAGATCACAGCAATAGACCCGCTTGATTCTCTTAAGGTCTGGTTGGCAGTCATTGGGAACATACTTTGAACATTGCTTGTGTACATTTAATCCACAATCTGTAGAAAAAATATTAGGATTAATGACAATTTTTTTGGTATTGTAAACTGGAAGATTGAGATAAGTGGCTATATAACTTCAATAAATAAATATCTGACAAGAGCAAAACATGGATATAAAATGATATATATTATATATGTTTGCATCTCCAAAATTATTTTTAACATATCTATCCTACAGATTAAGCTAATACCAGTGGTGGGATTCAGCCCAGTTCACACCAGTTCAGGAGAACCGTTTGTTAACTTTCTGAGCAGTTTGGTGAACTGGTTGTTGGAAGAAATCATTAGGGCAGAGAACCTGTTGTTAAATTATTTGAATCCCACCACTGGCTAATACTCAGAACAAAACTATACTGTTATGATGGCTGGTTCTTATGCAAAAGCAAAGATATCAGATTTGGCTATTACCAAAACAAACAGCAGATGGTACACTGCCTTGAGCTTTTAATTACATCTCATAATCTACAGCCTCTACGTTCCTAGTCTTGGAAAAATGTTAGACATAATTACCTGAAAACTAATTGCTACTTTTATATAACAAAGGTCTTCAAGTCAGTTTACATCTTTACACCAAAATAATATAAACAGTTAAAATTAATTAAAATTTAAAAACTCCAAATTTTAGAAAGCAGCATAAAAGCAGAATAACGCAAAATAATCCAGATCTTAAAATTTTATTACTTCAACAATTATGTATAACAACAATTTTATCACAATCTCTTTCCTTGATGATTACCCTCTCTCTGCCTCGAATGGCAAAAGTGTTTGCAGGAGGCCAGTTTTTAATGTACGAACTTACACATATAAAGTTACTAAAATTGAAGAAATTATGCAAAGTATCTATATAGAAAAAAAGGACAAAATTGATGGAACAGAATTGAAACATATGGTAATTCTGATAATCCGATAAAAAATTAATCATAGTTGGATGCATACAATGGACTAATACCACTCTTTCTATAAAATTAGTGAACACATTCAAAAATACACCATGGAAGCCATATGATATTTTAAAGTGATTAGTTGAAATTAAATTTAGACAAGACACATGTGCAGTCAGTAAATAGGATGCTAGACTTAAAGACTTCGCTTTGCTTTGAAGACTTCGTTCAGCTTCGTTTTGTTGCATTCTTCATGAAAGAGAAGATGCTAAGTCTAGAAGGACTCTTAATTTTCAGCTGTCACTGGATTTATGAGGCAGCTGCAAAAAATAGGGACTACCACAGAGGCCTGAAGAATCACAAAAAGTGCACATCTGAGCTAAAAATTGCTTTTACAGCAAAGAAAAGCAATAGTACTAAACAGTAGTGTTAGCAAAGGGAATTGACATGATTTGGAGGCAAAAAACAGACATGTTTACAGCAATATTGTGATTCTACATTTTTTAAAAGCAATTATGAAGCTTTTCCAGGACCAAGGAAGAAAGGAGATTTTCATTCTCTTCACTCTTCTCTAAATGTTGGAATGCTAAAAAATAAAAAGGGAGATCTTTCCATAGGGAAAATAGTATTGGGAAAAATTTGGGGTTCTTATGTGTGTATCTATGCACAATAAAGAGAAAATCAGTACACGCAAGTCAAATGTGTAAGGATGCTTCACAAATTCCTTTACATTAGATCCATTTATAATTTGAAGATCTTGCCCTCCTGGCCTATAAAACTATTAGGCCGGAACAGCTTAAGCATGCAATCCTATGCCTTTGTATCTAGAAATAAGCTTACTGATTTCAATGAGTCTTAATTTTGTAAGATTTATTCACAAAATAGTAGTTAATTTCCTTAGTGAGCAATTGGATAAAATCCCTCCTATACATTTGCAGGAAAGGGTCCGGTATATCAATGAGGGGCATTCCCATCTGAAAATCTTGGGATACCTTCAGAGTTCTCATTGCAATTGTTTATTGATTTATGGAGAGTAATCTTATTAACTAGGTTTAATTATTTAAAATAATAATAATATGAAATCATTTTTTTGTCCCACTCCCTTAGGAGTGTGGACTTCAGCTCAAAAAATCTATGTCCCACATAATAATAGTTCAAAATAATTGTAAAAGGTAGCTTTTCTTGGAACAGCTTACATACTATAATCAAACATTTAATGCAATCAAAGAACAACATTTGTCTGTCCCTTGAGAAGATATGATAAAAATGTCAAAGCCAATCTAAACATCTGGCTGAACAATGTAACTAACCATAATAATAACATCATGTTTATATGAGCACATTCACTTGAATTTAAAAAAAGTATTGGTTTTACATCCATAAGTAAAATGTATATTCCTTTAGTCCAATACCATCTAATGTATTATTATTCTGTTAAATCTAAACAAGCCCAGCCAGCATAAGAATTTTCACTAGAAATTTGTTTGCCTTTTTAGAGTTAATACTAGGAATTAATTAATCATTAAATTTTGCATGAAAGAAACATACTCTTTCTTATGTTACACTTTTATAATACTAAACCCAGCAATAGTTCTATATATTTCATACATAGAAAACAATTTCTCATATCCTAAGATTGTGTAATACTTCATTCCTCCACTACTAATGGCATCTGGATATGTTGGGATACAGATATATTAATTAGGAATTTTGGCATGTGTAAATTCTAAGACATCTGCAGCTGTAAATATTGGCACTATTGCATAAGTTGATTTATTTAATCCTAACCGTAACTCTAATGTTTTACAATAACTCAAGGCTGTGAACATTGCTAACATTTCTTCCGCCTATTTCCCCCAAAACAACCTGTGCGGTGAGTAGGTCTGATAGAGGGTGACTGGCCCAAAGTCACACATCCAGCTTTCATGGCTAAGGCACGATTAGAACTCACAGTCTCCCAGTTTCTAGCCTTGGCACCTAAGCATTAGGTGTTAGCTGTTCAGTTAATTGGTAACTTTGAATGATCACTAAACAAACTATTGTAAGTTGAGGACGACTATTTATATTGACAGAGTGTAACTAATATCAACAAGTTATGCCCCCCCCTCTCTTTCCCTCCCCCCTCTCTCTCCCTCCCTTCCTCCTCCTGCCTCCTCCCTCCCTCCCCTCCTCTCTCTCCCTTTCTTTAATAAGCATGTTATTTTTAAATAAGATAAAGAGATCCATTTAGTCAATTAAATTGGTGAGATAAGAAAAGGAAGCAATATGTTATGCCACTATTACGGTTACATTTTTACTGTCAGGAAAGACCTCTATGACTACAGCAACATGGCCAAATCTGAATATGAGCAACTTTGTTCTAGTGAGAATGTTACAAGACATTTTATTATCTTTATTATTTTATTTTATTATTATTTATTATCTTGTTTGATGTAAATAAAGCTAGTAAATTTGGACCTGGTTCATGCTTGAATGGTGCATCTAAAAAACCATTGAAAACCATCTAGGATGAGGAAATGGCAACTACTTTTGAATTCTTGCAAAGAAAACAGTACAGGTAGTACTGCTAGATACAACTATTCATTTAGTGACTGTTCAAAAATTACAATGGCACTGAAATTGGTGACTTATTGCAGGTCTTCGTGCTCAGAGCACCCCATAGATGATCAAAATTTGGTGTTTTTTGCAACTGGCATGTATCTAAAATGACTGCAGGTCATGTGATTGTCACTTGCAACTTTCTCAGATGACTTCTGACCATAAAAGACAATGAAGGTAGTCGGATTCACTTAATAATAATGTACAACTCATTTAAATTCAAATCAAGTATAACTCATTTAACAACCATCTAATGCCAAGTGTGGTCATTTGTATGCTTATAAACACATGCCCAAAAGTTCTGTTTTAGAGGCGCTTTATCTTTGGGAGAAGAATGCTCTTGCTAACTATACTCTGAAATATTTTACCTTTGGAATTGGACCTGACCTATTAAGATTCAATTAATATATAGTATTCAGTAGATGTTCTCAGGTAGCTACATGGCATATAAAGCTTTATCTTTTAATTCTTTTCACACAAGAATTTTTATTGTACTTCAGAAATCTCAGGATAAATACTCCAAATGTATTTTAAGCAAATTACTGATATATTTTAACTTAAAATGCCTTAAGAAATGATATTGATATCTTTATCATTACAAATCTTCTGTTTCATAAAAAGAAGAGTAAACGAGAGGAGGCGGGAGGAAGAAATCCAGTTAGGCAACTGAGTGTATGAAATGGATATATCTGTTTTGATGTAGCTATCATTCTTACTTATTCAGGTTGGATTTGAAACTATATTGTTATAATTTTTTAAATTTTCCATAAACATTAAGGATGAGACTAATGTTTTGTTTATTTATGTCTCATGTTTGTTATTTTAACAGATAATTCAAGATAACAAATATATCCAGCACACCTTCCTCCTCTTATTTTCTCTACAACAACCAACAAGGAGGTGAATTAGACTAGGATGAGAGACAGAACTGGCCCAAAGTCACCATCTGGCTTTCATGACTACGGTGGGACTAGAACTTACAATCTCCTCATTTCTCGTCTGATGCCGTATCCATGAGATCAAATTAGTTCTTACAGGTTGGCTTTCAGCACTCTTTATGGTCATTTTAAAGAGATTTACATTTCTATTTTTTTAAATAGACCATGATCTGGACAACACAGTATTTATAATTACCTGAACATCTTACACCCTGGGCAATGAGTCCCCACATGAAATTGGCACAGTATTCGCACCAGTGCGGACCCCGGAATGTGTGGATCTGCAAGAAAAGAAAAAGAAACAAAATCCAAGATCACTGAATGGCAGATGGACTAGCAGATGGTATATGAAGAAACAGAAACAACAATGGATTTAGTTAAGAACAAATGTATTTGACAGTTAGCTCTGCTCAAGGACTGAGGATAATAAGTCAAGGAAATGAAGACTGTATGAGATCAAGGTTTTCGTTCATTTCATAGGCAAAAGAAATTATTTTACATGAAATAAATGAGTTGTGTTGTTTGACATTTATTGTTTCAGGCCTTAGTGAATATGCGGGATGTGGATTGAGATTTAGCTTATAATATAGAAGCATTCAGCACTCAAATTCAAACTCTGGCAATCATGGATGTTGTTGCTAATAAATAAGCATAGATGGACTCCACTTCAGGGGTTTTAATTGTTTGCATTGAATTGTGCAGGTTTTCTTACTTCCTTACAAACTGGTTCCAGTTATGAAACCAGTTAGGAATGAGAAGGACTTCTCTTTATCCCTACTATGTCATCATTGCCCCCCCTCCCAAGATGAGCAATCACTCATTCAGCAACCAGTTGAAGTTGTTATGGTGCTGAAGGAGACTTATGACTGGTCCTCAAAGCTCCTGTTGCAGTGCCCCCACAGTCACAATAATTGGTATTTGGGTCCTTGACAACAAACATGCAATTACAATGGTCTCAGTGTCCTATGATCACAGAATTGGCCTTTGCAATCTTCACTGCTCCAACAAGCAAAAATCAGTGTGGAGCTGGCAATAAGTCGCAATTTGCAGTCATGTGATGTCATGCTTAACAGAAGCATGATTCACTTAACAACTGAAACTGGAATTACCATTGTCAGTTGGCATGATCACATGATTTTTTGCATTACAACTGTGTTACTGATCAACATTTCAATTTTGGTTGCTAACTGAAGACTATCTGTAGTGGATGCTCACTGCAGTGTAAACCTTTATGTTGAAGAGAGGGGTCAAGAAGCCATTACTAGATCTCACATACTAAACAATTTTTATATATATTCAGTTGGGAGAAGATTGTTGAAAAAGTGGTTGTGCAACAGCTGTAGATGATTTTGTATAAAGTGGATTATCTTTATGTCTTTCAGTTGGGTTTCAGACCAGGGTATGAGATGGAGATGGCATTGGTCATCCTTCTGGATGACCTCTTGTGGGAATGGGATGGAGATGGTAGATCTATCTGTTCTCTACTTGATTATTCAGTGGATTTCAAAACCATCAACTGTGGCATCCTTCTGGACACACTTCGGGGGTTGTGATAATTCACACTGAATTGTGCTGGTTCTCTTACATCCTTATGAACTGGTTCCAGTGTTAGTTAGGAGTGAGAAGAACTGCTCTTAGCCCTTACTATGTCATCATTTCTTCCATTCCATGATGATTATTCCAACCCTGTGGACTTTCTGGAAAGTTCTTAAAACCTGGTTCTGCCATTGAAGTGGATGTAAGAATATAGCCCATGAATGGGTACAAGCTCAGAATCACAACTGTGTTTTTGTTCTTTCTACAGTTTAAACTTTTAACTATTTTAATGGATTTGTTTTTTATTATTTTGATATATTTTTAAATTGTGTGCATCTCCTGAAGCACAAGTATGAGGTGGACAGCTATATAAATTTAATAAATGAATGAACCCGGTGCCCTAATAAAACCTCATGCTTGCTGAGAATGCAATGTATAATAGTTCAGAAAGTCTGGAGAATGCACAGTGGAATCAGATTGAATTGTGCTTATTATTAAACTACAGTGTACATAGTTATAGGTTTCATGACAATCACCAGACCTAAATGGTTTACTTCTAGTTAACAGCTGCCATGAAAAATAGATTCTGAGGCCAAATTTACCCAATCCACAAAGATGGTATATATATACTATACTCAGGTATGCAAGGGGGATGCCTTTTCCAATATTTTCAGTATAAAAGATATCTGCCAATAAATAACAACAGAGGCAGCACTGGGACATTTCGTTTTTTTCTGCATGGTTGCTGTAAGATTTCTGGCTTCCATGAAATTACTATAGTATGTAATCTGGTCCTCTTATATGTAATGATCGTACTATATAATCCCTAATATACAAAATTCATCATAATGGAAAAAAAATAAAGGACTTAGAAAAGTAGAAACTGTATAACAGATTTTTTTCCCAAATAGTTCTTCACGGTGAGAAAGAATTGTACAATGCTTTGAAGAGGATACAGAAGGAATCTCCTTGTGGCTTCAGGAGAGGATATAAAGCTGCAGATGAGATTGAAAAGTTTTTAAGAAAAAGCAACAACTTTTTCATTGAAATAAATCATCTAATTTAATAGCTTGAATTAAAGTCAAACATAAAGTCAAATAATACAATTCTAAAAACTGTACATTCTTGGTGACACATTACATTGAGGTAATGTATAATAGAGTTTTCTCATGTTTCCTAAACTTAAATTACAGTGCTGCTAATGGGCCTTAACCAAACCCCAAACAATCGTCTATACATATTCAAAGGACAGTATTTTTAGACAAATATACTTCTTCAAGATCATGTAAACACTAAACATAGTGCACATTTTTAAATTGGTCTATCTAGAAAGAGTTTCTCTTTGACCCAGAAAATTGCTTACCGAATTCAAAGTTAAGTAAGAAAATGCCTTGGGATCTATTCACAAATATTGGTTTAATCACGTGAGGTTTCTTTTTTTCTTTTTCTTTTCATATTGTATTTGTTGGGTTTAGAGGCAATCCCTAGGTTAAAAACTTCTGATTTACAGACAACTTGTGAATAGACTGCTGTTTGGCCTATTATATTAAAATTTTGAATTATATATAATGATTTATAGTAATGAAAACACCCCCCCACCCCCACTTTCTGCTTTATGATATTCATGGTAACAATGTGCAGCTTCAGTTGTTCATTGACCTGCAGAGAAGAATGGCATACATCACTTTATATACCAGTATACACTAATGCAACCATTTGACTAACTGGTGGTAATTAGGAAATATATGTACTGTTTTGACTTACCTAAAAAAATTGACTTAAAGACAGATTTAGGAACAAACCTTATTCATAATCCCATGTTATTTTGTGACAATATAGGTAGTCTTAATTTATGACCACAATTGAGCTCAAAATTTATGTTGCTATGTGAAATGTTTGTTAAGTGCGGTTTGCCCTATTTTATTATCTTTCTTGCCACAGTTAAGTGAATCACTGCAGTTGTTAAGTTAGTAATATGGTTGTTAAATAAATCTGGTTTCTCTATTAATTTCTCTATTTTCTCTATTTTGCTTGTCAGAAGGTTACAAAAGATGATCACATGACCCTAGGCAACTGTCATCAATATGAGCCAATTGCCAAGCATTTGATTTTTGATCACGTGACCATGGGGATGCTGCAGTAGTCATAAGTGTGAAAACAGTCATAAATCCCTTTTTTCAGTGCCGTTTTATGAATGGTCACTACATGAATTCTAAGTTGAAGACTACTTGTAGTGGATCTTTTCTTAAATTCGGAATGTTTTTCAATATTTAATAAATTCCAATGAAAATGAATAATGCAACTACTGTATGGACTTTTATATTAAGATAATAATGATGCCAAGGAATCTTATATTTGAGGATGAGTCAGACAATGTCATATACATGGTAGGGTTTAGAGTTTCTAGAAGTTTTGCGATTTGTTCTTATTGTCTCTTCAGTTCGACTTCACAAACGTTTGTATGTGTTTGCTTGCCTCTGAATGGCAGAAACTAGTACCATCAATGTTCAGTTAGAAAATTAATAGCAACACATAATCTATGGATAATAGATAAAAGGCTTATTATGACTTGGATCAAAATGAATAACAGGATATTTGTGCAGATATTCAGGGAGAATTTGGCTATTACTGGTTCTTGAATGTTTCAATCAACTATGCAAACACAAACACACTATTTTTGTTTTCCTGTCTTTTCCAAGTTGCATAAGTAATCTTGTTTCATCCAAACTCCAATATACAGACAGATTCTTATTCAACAAAATCACAGAAAGTGCCATTTGATTGTAAATATGCAGAAACAAACAGGGTGAGGAAAGAGATGAAATATTATACTGGTCTTAATTCTGCAATAGGGGAATTAATAATAAAAGAACCTTTTGAAATTTAACATTTAGCCATGGTTAAATCATTTATTCATTTGCTAATCTAAATCATTTGCTTCAAGTTTAGATCGTTACCCTAAAAAGGTACTTCAATCTCATACTGATCTCAAGCAGCTGCCCAAGGTCGTTAGAAATGCTGATTGTCCTGCAATGCATACGTATGCATGTACAATTGTATACTCACACATATATATAAAACAATATATTCAGATTAGGAAAACTGAACCCTACTGACAACTGCAATTTTATATGGGACCGTCATGGACTTCAAATGTAGGGACAGAGGCATGGCTGCACAATGTACCAACTGTATTATGACATAATTTAATGAAGAATGTTAAATTGATTAGTTCAAAGTAATGATATGGAATTGCTAGTTATATTCCGGGTTAATCTGGTTTACAATTCTAATTATTTTGGAGGTTACTTAAGCACATTTGTCAAGATATTCAGCAACATCATTTATCATTAAACATCTCTGGGTAAGGACTTAGAGCCAGAGTCTTCACTGCGTTCTTTGATAACAATCTATTTAAAGTTTTTAAAATTACCTCATATCTTAGTCAAGGACTATAATAACTAAAATCAAATGGTTCTTTACCACTGTTACAATATGAAATGCTTTTGTCAGACATTGCTAAACAATACAAGAAATAGTGTACTTTATACTGTTCGGGGTATTTTGGCTTCAACTTGTTGATATATATGGTAAATACCAATTAAAATATCAAAATATTAAAGCAAACTAGTAAATATAAATCTATACAGCAAGAACACAAATATTAAAAAATAAAAAATTACTTATAAGCCACCAGTTTACAGTCACTAAATTGGGGAGTGTGAAATAAAACAGATAGCAGCTG